CTCCCCCACCCCCCGACGGCTCTTTTCCTGGGGGCCATACGAGGACCACTCCCTTTCTGTCCTATGAATCTCCACTCATCTGCAGATGGGGGGCCCTGAGTTGTAGTTGGGCACTGTCTACTGGCTGAGCCCCCACCCGCTCCCAGCCCGAACAGCGAAGCACAGAGGAGCACTTGCTCAGGAGCCTCAGTCTTCAGAACACACCCTCCACTAACAGAGCAGTCAACTCAAATCACCCCTGAGCAGACGTGTACGCGGATGTACATGGCTACCTTGCCTGCATATGTGTGGGCACCTGTATGCGGGCACCTATATGTGTGTGTGCACACACGTGTGCGGGTACCTCTATGTGGGCACCTGTGCACGCGTGTGCACCCGTGTATGCAGGTACCCCTATGTGGGCACCTGTGCATGTGTGTGCACACGTGTGTGGGCACTTATGCATGTGTGCTCACATGTGCATGGGTACCTGTGTGCATGTGTGTGCATGATGTACAGGATGCATGCAGCCCACATATGAGGGTGCGGGTGTGTATATGTATGTTGCATGCATGCACGTATGGGCATTCAGTGAAGTTCATCTGCGGGAAGGAAACAGTCTGAATATCTGTGAACTCAGACAAGATAGCTGAGACCAAAGACACGCTCTATTTGTCCCTCTGTTCGGTTCCGTAGTTCCGTCGACGTCAGCCCTCACAGCAGTTTCCTGGGCCCAGACCAATAGCTCTCCTCGGCGCAGTCTTTGCGCTCGGGGCTGAGTGCCCAGGTGCCATCTGGGGAAGGGGAGACTCGGTGGTCAGTGGGCACCTACTGGCCATACAGCATTCCCGCATGCACTACAGACCTGCAGGAACCCCCCAGGGGTGCAGGGTTCCTTGAGCTCAGTCCCTACCTCACCCTGACTCTCTGCAGCCCCCAGGCCCCAGGATCTCGCTTCTCACTAATCACTTGAGCAAGATTGTGGAGTCATTGATTAGGCCGAAGTCCTCCGTGACCCTCCACTCCTGGGGCCCTGGACAGCACGGGCCTCAGACCCCAAAGACAGGACGTTTATGGAGAAGACACCAACACAACAGCGCATTCAGAGAGGAGGGCTGGACACATCCATCCCACCTGACTGAGGAAGGCATATCAGAGCGACGGTCTCTGCAGAGGATAGAGCAGCCGTCTCTCCCCCAGAAGGGCCTGGGAAAGCTACTGTCCCTCACAGCTGGCCCTCCTCCCCCGCACTGTTGACCACAGCTGCTCAGGAGGGAAAAGAGTGTAGCAGGGACACTCTTGGCCCAGCTGCTGTCCCGCCCACCCCAGGCGTGGCCTCTGCACCTCCCACTGCCAGGGGAAGAGTGGACAGATGCAGACCACGAGGCACAGGGACCATCGTGGAGGACAAGAGACCATGCTGGGGTTTGAACCCCCATGTGTGCTGCCCCGTGGCAGCCCCCTGGTGTGACCAGGCAGTGCTCTTCTCCTGGTCTCTCGGCATTGGGGGCTATCACTGGAGAGGGCAGCCCAAAGGTCCAGGCAGGAGACATGGGGCCGAGGACCTGGCCACCACATCTTCTGGTGCCTAAGGCCAAGACATTTGTGGGCAGCGTGATTATTTGTCATTATATTCTGCTGCCCAGTTGACTGAGTTTTCATGAAGAGCATCACCCAAAGCAGGAAACCCTATTTGCAGATGAAGACAAATGTGAATTTGTATTCTGAGGTTGCCGCAGTGCATGTGTGTGTGTGCGCACATGTGTGTGCTCCTGTGTGTGCATATGTGTGCACATGTGTATATGTGTGCACATGTGTGAGTGAATGGATGTGTTGCAGATGTTGTTCTTTTTTCTTTTTTTTTCCCCACACTGCCCCGGTACACATAGATTTCTCCTGTGATAATCTGGGGTGCAGGCTGTAGCCACAAAGACTCACAGAGCCTGGCCAGGGCCAGCTAAGGCCCCCAGTGGTGGATGTGAGGGAAGAGGCGAGAGCTGAAGTGAGGAGCAGCAGACAGGAAGGACTGTGGCACTTCAGAGGGAGTCTTGGTCCAAACTGCACTTTGCAGATAAGGGAACCGAGTCCTGGAATAAAGAGGTTTCCTCAGAGAACAATATTGGGCCTGGCCCGTATGAAATTGAGTTCCACGGAGAAGAGTTATCAGTGCCGGGCTGACGGTCCCCATTCCTGGCTGTGAGGTTTTCTGCGCCCGCCTGGGCAGTGCCTGGGGCTGGGAGTGCTCCAGAGACCCGTGGGCCTGTGAGGAGAGGCTCCCTGAGCTGCCAGTATAGGACACCCTTGGAGCCAGAGGGGAGGGGCAGAATGGGGCCCAGGTAGCCTGGGCTCTTTGGAGGGGCAGCAGTAGGGCGGGCTTCCCCCACCCCCCCCCCCACACACACACACACCCTGGGAATCCTCGGGTGTGTCGGGTAGTGAGTTTTGGGAAATGTGAGCTGTGGGTCCTGATACTGACCCTTGCTGAAGGACAGACCCGGGTCTCTAGTGTCCACTACATGGCTCTTGGGTGCCACACAGCTACATTCAGCATCTGGACACCATGGCCTGCTCCCTCCTCCAGGAGTCCAATGGAGCTCAGCCTTCTGAGTCATTAGCACTCTTAGTCAGGTGAACACCCCTCCCCTCTATCTCCAATTTTATTGCAAGGTGCTGGGCAGATGCCCCTCCCCACATACACAGCCTGACAGCCTTAGAACTAATCACCTGCTCTCCAGGCATGTCATGGTTCAGGTATGCCACAGCCCAGGTATGTTATGGCTCAGGTGTGCCATCACGTAGGTATGCTATGATTCAGGTGTGCCATGGCCCAGATATGCCACGGCTCAGGTGTGCCACAGTTCAGGTGTGTCACGGCTCAGGTGTGCCATGGCCCAGGTGTACCATGGCTCAGGTGTGCCACAGCCCAGGAATGCCATGACTCAGGTATACTATGGCTCAGGTGTGCCACAGCCCGGATGTGCTATGGCTCAGGTATGCCATGACCCAGGTATGCTATGGCTCAGATGTGCCACAGCTCAGGTGTGTCACAGCCCAGGTGTGCTACAGCTTCAGGTGTGCCACGGCTCAGGTGCGTCATGTCCAGGTGTGCCCGTTTCCAAACCGCATGCTGCTCTTGAGGTGAAAGGATTCCTGTTATCTCTCCTCCCAAGTCCCTTCCTTTGCTCTAGCTTCCCTGGGGCCAGCAGTACTAGCAAGTTTGTTCTGCCCAGACCCCTAGGCTGAGCACTGCAGAGGGAGGGGAGGAGGCTGGACTGGGAGGAGTCCCCCCCCCCCATCCAGGCCTGCAGCAAGTCTCTGTTTGCCTCAGTCCCTCAGGCCTGGGCATTGGGATCAGAGCAGGGATCTACATTCATTTACAAATAAGGGGAGAACCGCCCAGGAACCTCCTATGGGTTCCATCTCCAGCCTAACAGCAACTGCAGGAGAGCTCCCAGGGGTCTGGGAGGGCAGAGGAGACAGGGAGCTCAGACCCAATGCCCATAGCTCTCGCAGGCGCCCGGCGAGGAAAGCTGTCCACTAGATGGCAGCCGTGCCACGCACTTTCTGGCAGCTGCATGCCCACAGATGGGGAGCAAAAGGGGCACTGCCAGGTACAGTCCATCGGCCCCTCTCATCCCCCAGCCCTTTCCCACTCTCTTCATCCTTTGATCACAAGTCCCTGCTGCTCTCCAACGTGACCTGCCAGGGAAGATGTCCACCTAAAGAACACAGCAATGGTATTTCCTGGGGCTGGTTTGACTGGCACACACGCAGATGAGGCTGCTGCATCCCAGGCACAGCCAGTGGCATTAGAGGCTCCACACACAAACCTAGGGCCATGAGGTGCAGCCTAGCACCTGGGCATGGTCATTCTGGAGGTGCCCCCCCCCACCATCATTGCCAGTTGAATTTCTAACACAGGCCACAGCCTGGACTGGCTGGAGCTTGGAACCGGGATCTCCGATGTACTTCTTGGCACCCAGACAAGGCCCCGTCTCTCCAGGGGGGAGCAAGTGCTTTTGCTCCTGAGGGAGGGATCCATGTGTCTGATGCAGAATTCAGGGGACAGACTGGGGGGATCTCAGTGGGTCCTCACAGGCTTGTTCATTCACCTGTGAGCGACAGTGGTTGCCTGGCCATGGTCAACCAACTCCAGACTAGACTGTGTGGGTCCCTCGGAGGATGCTTTCTCCCCACCCAGGTCTTTCCTGAGGACCCAAGGGGGCACATCAGGCCTCTGGGACACTGGATGGGGCTCCCTAGATGCACCCAGTGAGGGGACCCCTGGATCTGGTGCTGGTTTCTGGCTGGGCTGTGGGGGAAGGGATCCTGTAGGCTCTGGGGTCTCCCCGGGAACTGGAGTCCAGGACACACAATCCTGGGCACACGACGAGACTCAACTGCGATGCCGGAGACAGGGAGTGGGGAGTGGGGGTGACCGTGGGGACCACCCCGGCCCGGTCGCTCGGACCATGCGGTGTAAGGGCCTGGGGCCTGGTGTGGGGCCACTGTGGGGGCAGCTGTCCATAGTAGAATGGGAGGTCTTCTCCGCTCCGTGCTGCGTCCTGGGCTAGGGGCCCTGAGTGTCTGTCCACCCCGTACCTTGCCCAGATATCCAGGTTCCCATTTGGGGGCTGTCTGAGCGCACCGTCCTCTCTGCTTCCGAGCCCCTCGGTTCCAGGTCCAGAACCACCCCACCCCTCGCGCTCTGCCGAGGGGGCTTCCCCGCGGCAGTGTCCCCCACCCCCGCGCCCCGCAGGCCCGACCCCAGCCCTCATACCGGAGTCGCCCCCTCCGCCTGCGCCTCAGGCAAAGCCGGGTGGGCGCCCGGCCGGGTGCGGGGCCGGCCCGGGGCTGCGGGCGGGGCCCGGCTCGGCGCCTCCCGCGGGCGGGGTGCGGGGCGCGGGGCGCGGGGCCGGCTCCCCCCGCGCGCGCCCAACAAGTCTCGGCGGCGGCGCCGGAGGCCGCGCGGCGCGGGGCGGCGCGGGGGGCCGGGGCGCGCGGTCGGGGCTCGCGCCGTGCCCGCTGCCCTGGCTGGGAGGATGGTCGCGTCCGGCCGCCGCGCCCGCCGCTCCGGGGCCCGCTAGGCGGGGACGAGCGGGGCGCGGGGCCCATGCGAGCGGCGGGGCGCGGGCCGGGCGCGCACACACCTGCCGGCCGCAGCCCCGCGGGGCCCCGCAGGCGCCGGGCGCCCCCGAGCAGACGCGGCGCGTGGACTCGCCGCAGACATGACTGCGCCGCTCGGGCTCGCGGGGCCGCTGCTCCTGTGCGCCGGGCTCCTCGCCGCCGCCAACGGTAAGACGCTGCGGGCGCGGGCCGGGGCCGGGGCGCGGGCCGGGAGCGGGGCCGGGGCCGGGAGCGGGGCCGGGCGCGGGGCGCGGGGGCCGGGGCCGGGGAGCGGGGAGCGGGGCGCAGGAACCCCGGCGCGGGGGGCCGGGGCCGGGCGCGGGGAGCGGAGCGCGGGGGGCCGGGGACCGGGGCTCGGGGATGGGGCGCAGGAACCGGGGGCGCGGGGAACCGGGAAGCTGAGACCGGGGCGCAGGCAGCCGGGGCGTGGGGATCGGGGCGCAGGGGCCGGTTTCCAGGGCTTTGGGGGGGGACGCCGCGCGGCCCGCGCCCCCCACCTCGGCCCCGCCTCGCCGTCCCCCGCGCTGCCCGAGGCCCGGGGCTGGGGCTGGGCCGGGGGCGATGTGCCACGGCGTGGGGCTGTGCCCCCAGAACTGGCTTCCCGGCCTGGGGCGACGGGAAAGTGTACTGGGCCGGGGGCTCCGGGGTGCGGGGAGGGTGGGGGGTGGGTAGGGTGGAGGCTCGCGTCGGGGCCGGAGCTGGGGGGGTGGTCTCTCCCCGCGGCCAGCCGCGGGGCGCGCTCGGCTTGCGGGGGTCCCCGGGACTTTGCGCCGCCTCGCAAGTTGCGCACGGCGGGCGGGCAGCGTGGAGGCGGCGCGGGGGTCCGGGGCGCTCCGGGGCGCGGCGCCGTGAACTTGCCGCTCTCCTTGAGCTGAGTTTCGGGTTGTTTCCCCCGACTCGAGCAGCCCGCGGGCTGCGCCTCCCCCGCGGAAACACGCGCGCTCGCCCCGGGGGCTGCCCCGGGCCTGCCCGCCGCCCCCGCCCCTGCCCCAACCGAGCCCGCCGTGGACACTGCCGTTCCCGTCCCCAGCCTCGCCGGGCCGCTCCCCGCGCACTCTCTCCCTCCCTGCTCCACATTCGGGGTGATTGACACGGCGCAGGCGGACCCGAGCGGGCTCTACCCGCCACGTCCAGATGGGCCTGGATGCAGGGGGCGGCGGGGGTGGCAGGGGCGGCGGGGGCACGGTCTGTCCAGCGTCCTCGCGGCCCGACCGCCCCGCAGCTGCCCGAGGCGAGCCCGCGCCTCCGGGGACGCAGCTGGTCGGGCTTGAAGCTGCTGCCCCCGCCGCCCCCCGGCCAACCTGGCGGGGCAGTTTCCGAGCCTGGTCCTGCGGGCGCTCCCCGGGCCGCTGAGCCCGGCCGGTGCCCGGCTGCACGACAGGGGGGACACACTGTGAGCACACGGAAAGTGGGCAGCGCGGAGGGCCGTGCCCAGCGAGGTGCCGGCGGACTCGGCCTGCCCGGCGCGGACTAGGCGGGGCGCCCTGACGCACCTCGGCCAAACTTCCCGGGGCCCGGAGCCCCCCGGCCTGTGGGGAAGGGCCTGAGCACCTGCCCAGCGCAGAGCCGTCGCCTGGACGCGGCCCAGCAGGCTGCCGAGCAGCCCGCACACGTGTGCGCCCAGCCCACGCCGCCCCCACGCCGAGGGGTGCAGGAAAAGCGCGGGGAGCGCGTGCCGGGGGCTGAAGGGCAGGGCCGAGGACCCAGGACAGGGGGCTGCAGCTTCTAGGCCCCTGTGTGAGCCCGGGGAGAGGAGAGGTGTGTGCGCGCGCGCGCGTGTCTGTGCGCGCCCGAGCGCGCGTGCGTGCGCGTAGCCCGGAGGGTCCAGCACTCGCGCCCCCTCATCACTCGCATCCCCCCTTTCCCGGTGCTGAGGCCGGGCCCGGTCTCCTCCACGCCCAATGGGTGTCGTGTCGTGTCTCCCGGGCACTGGGGTGCTCCCGGGGCGCTGCCCGGGGCGGGCCAGGGCTGGTGACGCCAGCGGCGCGGGAGAGGGGGCTTCCCTGGGAGGCCCGGAGGCTGGGGGCGGGCGGCTCCGTGACCTGTTTGCAGAGTCGTGAGAAGCGGCGAGAGCAGCTGGAGTCGGAGCCTCCGGGCCAGGCTCCAGCTCCCGGGGAGAGTGCGGGCTCCCCCCACACCCTACCCCGTTTGTGGGCGCTCGGGGCACCCATCTTTTAGCGGTGGTGGTCGGGGCGACCTGAGCCCCCGTGCCGCGGGGAAAGTTTGCTCTGACTGGCTGCCAAGAGCGGGGCTAGCGAGGTGCACGCAGGACGTGGAAGCCCCGCCCCAACACACATGTCACACCCGCCTGGCCTCCCGTGGGAAGCCTGTGTGCGCCGCCTGGAACATTCATTAGCTCTCCAGGCTTGGAGGTGCTGGCAGGGAGAGGGGGAGAGCGGGCTGGGCCAGATTTCCCCGGAGTGGGGAGGAGGAGGAGAGAGAGGGAGAGGGAGAGGAAGGGAGAAAGGGAGAGGGAGAGCGTGAGGGAGGCAGCCAAGGAGGAGAGGGGCAAGGGAGAGAGAGTGGGAAGGGGGAGCGGGGAAGGAGGCAAGGAGAGAGGGAAGGGGGGTAGAGAATGAGGGAAAGGGAGGGGAGAGACCCCTGCAGGCATCTGGACCAGCAGCCCTTCTTAGGGATTCCGGTCACAGCCTCTGAGCCCTCTCATTTGTGGCCACAGTCCTGGCTGGCAGGATGTCAGCTCCAGCCCTGGGCAATGTGAGCTGGGGACTGAGTCAGTGGAACCCATAGAAGCGCTTCTGTCCAGGCTGCGTGTGGGTCTGTGGGAGAGGCGGACAGACCCTGCAGAAGCAGAAGCTGAGCTGAGCGCAGAGCCTCCTTCCTCCCAGGCTGCCCAGGAGCTCACTATTCCCAGCTGCCCGCTATACACACACACACACACACACACACACACACACATATATATATATATATATATAATTATTTTTACCGCGTTGTCATGGGGACTCTCCTAGGCTCCTGCGACTGAGCCTGCCGGCTAGTGCCTCTGGAAAAAGCCCTCTTAGCTCTCAGTTTGAGATTTGTAACGCCCTGACCCAGGCGAGGCTCTGGAGCTGGGGGAATGCGATGCCCACCCACCACCACCACCACCGGGAACTGTCCAAGCACAGGACAGAGCTATGGACGGGCCTGGGTGGCCCATCCTGGCAGCAGTCGGGGGAAGCAGCCACTGCAACTCCCCTACTGGAAAGTTCCCCTGGCAGGTAGGAGCAGCTCCTGAGGGCCAGGCTTCCTCCTCTCAGGCTTATTGTCTCAAGCAAACACCAACAGAGCTCTGGAAATGTCAAGAAAATGGTTCAGCTTCCTTTAAGAAATAGATAAACAAAGGCTCAGCGGCTGGTGAGCATCCTAGCTGAGGAGACAGCTAACCCAGTGTAGACATTGCTAAGCTGTCAGATGCAAATGGCATATTAAATACTCTCGGCTCTGCTGAATTCTAAATGTGCCTCTGGTCATTTTTGTCTGCCGAGCTCCGAGTGGCGAGGAGCCATCGCGAGTGCCGTGCCTGCGCGCCTCTCGGCCTCTGTGCTTCTTCTGTGAAGTCCTTGCCCTCTGGGAGTTAGCGGCTGAGCCGGGCGCAGGCCGGAGGCTGTTTGCTGTTTGTTGCTTTGGCTAATCACGCAGAGACACGCGTCCTAGGATCAGAGCCAGGGCTCCTCTGGGTCGAGGGTGCGTTCTGTGCAAGCCCGGGGGCCCCAGTGCCGGTGCTGCAGAGCTGGGAGGGCTCGGACCAGCAGCAGAGGGTGATAGAATCCAACTGTTCCATGCTCCGTGGCCGCCCGCCACCGAAGCCGGCAGCTCGATAATGCTGGAAATAAACTGGCTCTAGTGCAGCTGGAGGCGATGAGAGAGACACAGCTGAGAAGAATTATTCCTAAAGGAAATGGGCCCTCTGACCTTCCCTGGGTGGGGCTCTCTCTCCTGCCCTGCGCTGGGGTACCTGTTCGTATGAGGATTCGCTTGGCCCGGGCTCACCACTCCGGGGTCTACCACTCCCCTGGACGCTCTCTCAGATGACCTTATGTGACCTTCCACTCAGCCAGATGCCTGTATTGGGGGGGGAGGGGGGTGTGAGTGTGGAGGTTAAGAGATCTAGTATCCTATTTATAATGAAATGAGAAATGAGAACGGTGTGTCGCCAAGAGGTGAAAATGGACTTCTGACGGGAGAAGTGTCCGACTTCCTTCCGGAGGGTTCCACACACACTCCAAGCCTCCTTCGGATGCGGAGAGCTAGGGAGTTTGTTTTCTTCTGAGTTCAGCTGCAGTTTCCTTAGCCGTGATGTCTGGGAGAGGTACGTGCAGGACACGTTCTACCTCCTCATGGTCCTTGCCGCAGCTACAGATGAGCTAGGTGCACCCGCCAGCACACGGTGCATTGAGGGAACCGTCTTGGCCATTTCAACCCTGTCAACGTGCCTCCAGCTAGAACCTTTGCCCCTCGTTGGCCACCACCGTCTTCATATTGAAGTTCTCTCATGACTAGAAGGAAAACGTGCCCGCATGGAAGCATGGGTGCATGTTAAAAATAACTGCTCTGCTTTGATGTCTCCAATCGCTTTGTAGCTTCTCGGTTGAAACTTCCTGCTTTTTTCCTGGACTCAGGCTAATGCAGGGGAAGCCATTGAGACCCAGGGTGCTTGAGCCTGGTCACTGCTTTTCTCTTAGTGCTCATCATCTTGGGATCATACTGCCTACCTCCTTTGTTTTTAATTAGTAAATTTGAGATCATGCTTTGGGATACAAAATTTTCTTTGTTATCCACGTGAACTCAAGGTGAAAAAAGAGTTGCGAGGACTTGTTTAAGAAGATCGTGTCTGGGTATGTGTTTTACCTATAGCACAGCCTGAGAGAAACAGCTTCCCCTTCCAAGCGTCGTCTGTCTGTCTGTTCATCATCTCGTCATTCATCTACCCAGCAACCTAGCAGCCATCTAGGTTCATTACAAATGGGAAATTACATCTTTCCATATTTATCTGAATCTCTCTCTCTGTTTTGGAGACCATCTCAGTCAAGTTCAGGATAAGGAGTGACCTGTGGTTATTATAAATATGGATTTAGCTTTTTCTGGTCCAGGTGAGGTTAAGTCACAGGACTACCTGTGACCTCAGGACAGCCTCTGAGTACAGGCAATTTCCTCCAGAGTTTTAT